GAGAGGATCCTTCTCCAAGTAGCCGCGATCGCCCTGCAGCCGATCCGCCGCCAGTTCATGGGCGCGGTCGTTCATTTGGCGAAGTAAATCATCCACGCTAGCGGCAGCCGCACTTGGGTGCTCTTTCAACCTGCGCAACTCATTCACCATCGAGCCGAACCTGGGGTCGTCATGCGGCTGAAGCACGTGGATTGGTATGCCCTCTGGGGCTTCATTGATGCCCTTTAATTCTTCTTTCTTCTGGTCATTTGCCAGCTCATGTGCACGGTCATTCAGTTGCTCCTCGAGGTCTCGTATCCTGGACGCGTTGCGCACAGGATCGCGCTCCTTGAGCTTCGCGCGTTCTGCCTCCAACTTTCGGAACTTCGTGTCCGTGTTAAGCGGGAGGAGGCCAAGGGGAACCCCCTCGGGGTCCTTGTCGAGGAAGACACGGTCGTTCTTCAGCTTCTCTTGAGCAATTTCATGCGCACGATCGTTCATCCGGTCGCGCAAGTCCTCGATTGTTTCGGCGTTTCTTTTCGGGTCTTTCTTTAGCTCACGAATCCCATCCACCATTGTCGCAAATTGATTATCCTTGTGTAGGTTCAACTGCTCCAGTGGAATGCCCTCTGGTTCTCGGTCAAGCCCACTAAGGTCCTCCGCCATTTGCTCCTCAGCTAGCAATAGCGAACGTTCATTCAGTTTGTTCTCAATATCCTTAATTCTGCGGGAATTTAGTCGGGGGTCCTCAGCCTTTAGTTTCGCACGCTCCACCTCAAGTTCATGGAAGGTTGCGTCAGCGTTCAACGGGAGCACATCAAGCGACACACTGCAGGGTGCATTTTCCAGGTACCCGCGGTCTCCCTCCAGCATCGCCTTCGCCACTTCGTGGGCCTTGTTATTCAGGTCAAATTCAAGATCACTTATAGCCTCCCTGTTCGCATCGGGATCCTTCCTGAGGTCGCGAAGCTCTTCCTCCATTCTCGTAAATTCCTCATTGTCACCCAGCTTTAGGAGTTCCAGTGGAATGCCCTCTGGAGCCTCATCACAGAAACCTTTGCGTAGCTGGTTTGCTAGCTCACGCGCCCGCTCGTCCATCGCGTTCTCCAACTCTTGCAGCCGCGCAGCGTTCTTACCTTTACTGTATGGTGAAGCTCGCAAGTCACGTGCTTCCGTCTCGAGGGCGTTGAATGTGGGGTCCTCGTTTAACGGCAGCGCGGAGAGGGGCACGCCTTCGGGCCGCTGATCCAATACTTGACGCTCTTCGTCGTGCATGTCCTGCGCCAGCTCACGCGCCCGCTCGTTCATCTGATCAAGGATCTCCTCCAGCTTCCCCTCATTTCCTTCGTTCATGCACAGATCTCTGTAATTCCCCTCCAGTGTAGTGAAGCGCTCATCATTGTCGAGCGGAAGCCTTTTCAGGGGCACACCCAACGGCCGCTGATCCAGCAGGCCACGTATCTCGGTTTTGAGGCTACTTGCAAGTTCCGCTGCACGGTCTTTCATCTGTTCCTCAAGAGCCTTGATCGCCTTTGCATTGCTGAGGGGATCATTACTTTTCAGTGCGGCGCGCTTTGACTCCAGTCTGGAAAACTCCGGGTCGTCGTCAAGAGGAAGCTGGTGCACCGGTACGCCCTCCACTTCCTCGCCCAAGAACATACGGTCCTGACGGACGGCTTCAGCAGCCATCTCTTCGGCACGTTGGTTCAATGCATGTTCCACCTCGGCAATCCGCGATGTGTTCCTTTCAGGGTCGTGGCACAAATGAGCACGCTGCGCCTCCAGCCACGCAAATTTCTTGTCGCTGTCAAGGGGTAATTCGGATAGGGGAACTCCGTGGGCAGATTGTGCGAGATATTCGGGACGCTGAACCGCATTTAGTTTCCTTGCCAGCTCATGTGCGCGATCGTTCATCATCTGCTCCAGGTCGGCTAGTCGATCCTCGTCAGCGTAGGGGTCCTTTTTTAGCTCTCGGTGCTGTTTTTCGAGCCCCAGAAACGTCGGATCAGTATTGAGGGGAAGCTCCTCCAAATAACGACCCTCTGGCTCTGGGTCAAGGAAGTCGCGCTCTTTCTCAACCTTTTCCCTTGCCATTTCAAAAGCCATGTCATCCAGTGCTTCCATTGCGTTTGAAATGGCTTCAGCATTTCTATTCGAGTCCTTTTTCAACATGATAAGTTCCTTCTCCTTCTCCGTAAATTCCGGGTTGCTGTCAAGAGGGAGTTCTTCGAGTGGAACACCCAACGGATTCTGTTCCAGGTTCATGCGGTTGTCCCACTTCAACTTCGTCGATACGTCATCCGCCCGCTTGCGCATCGCATCAGCCAAATCATGGGCTTTCGATGGATCCTCTCCGTCACCAACGGCTTTGTGATACTCAACTTCAAGATCCGTAAAGGGCATATCTTCGTCTAGCGGCAGGGCGTCCAGCGGAATACCGTTCGGCTGAGCATCCAGAACTGCTTCACGTCCCCTAAGTTTCATCTCATTGGCCAACTCATTCGCGCGATCGTTCATTGCATCTTCAAGGTTTTTTATCGCGCTATCATTTCGCCGAGAATTCTGCGCTTTAAGGGCCATCCGCTCCACCTCATTAGCGTGAAATTCCGGGTCCTCATCAAGAGGCAGGTACTTCAACGGTATGCCCTGGGGTTCTGGATCCAAAAACCCTCGTTCATTTTGTAACTTCTCTTGCGCCAGTTCCTCGGCACGAAGATTCAACGCTTCTTCCAGATCTCCAATAGCACCCTTGTTCCTCGACGGGTCACGCATAAGCTCAGCACGCTTCGCCTCCAGTTTTGCGAATTCCTCGTCAGTATCAAGTGGGAGATCTTCTATAGGTACACCCTTTGGCCTTGGATCTAGGTAATCCTTCCGCTCAGCCGCATTCATCGCCTTCGCCAATTGGTGTGCACGCTCGTTCATGAGCTCCTCAATATCTGCCAATTTCTGCGCATTTTTCTTGGGATCCTTCTTTAGCAGTCGACGCTCCTTTTCCAACGAATGGAATGCATTGTCCACGTCCAGGGGAAGGTCCTCCAACAGGCGGCCTTCTGGCTCAGGATCGAGAAAGTCGCGGTCCTTCTGAAGTTCCTCGGCAGCGATAGACCTGACAAGATTGTTAAGGTCATCCTCAAGGGCAGCGATGGCCGGATCACTCTTAGACCGGCTCTTCCTAAGCTCCCGAAGATCGGCCTCCTTTGCCAGGAACTCCGCATTTTCATCGAGAGGAAGCTCTGGAAGAGGAATACCAAGCGGCGCAGGGTCGAGGAACGCACGCTCGTCTTCCAGCACTTGAGCCGCAAGCTCCAAGGCTCTCTCGTTCATCGCATCTTCAAGATGACTGATTGCTGTTGCATTCTTGATAGGCTCCTGACACAACAAAAGCCTCTGTATCTCCATGTCTCGGAAGGGCCCATCGCTGTCGATCGGGACGTCAGCAATGGGAACACTGTTAGGCCTCGGGTCCAGGAATTTCGCACGCTCAGCTTCTTTCAGTTCAATCGCGAGCTCACGGGCACGGTCGTTGAGGTCGTCCTCCAAATCTCGAATTGCCTTCGCATTCCGTTCAGGGTTCTTTTTCAGCTGCGCACGCTTCGCCTCAAGCGCCTGGAAGGCGCCATCTGTGTCAAGCGGGAGAAGATGCAACGGTACACCTTCCGGCGCCGGATCCAGGTACCCACGATCATCCGCCAGCTGCTTCTTCGCCAGCTCCTCTGCGCGCGCATTCAGCGCTGCCTCAACGTCCGCAATAACAGCGGCATTGCGCCTCGGGTCGCGCTTCAACTGTTGGCGCTTTGCCTCAAGCTCGCGGAACTCCCCATCGGCATCAAGCGGGAGATCTTCAAAGGGGACGCCGTTCGGTGCAGGGTGAAGGTAGTCGGGCCGCTCTCTCGCGTTTAACGCTCGGGCAATCTCATGCGCCCTTTCGTTCATCTCATTCTCCAGCGCTCCGATTTTGTCAGGGTCACCCCCGTCACGCACCAATTGGCGCCGCTTCGTGTCCATCGACACGAACGCTTTGTCGTCATCCAGTGGCAGGTCCTTTACGAGCCGGCCCTCGGGTTCGGGGTCGAGGAATTTGCGATCCAGAGCCGCCATCTCGTGAGCAGCAGCGTCGACAATACGAGCAAGGTCTTCCTCTGCGGCTCTAATCGCAGCCGCATTTCTCCTTGGGTCCTTCTTCAACTCACGCAGCTCCGCCTCCCTACGCACAAACGTATCGTTGAAGTCCAAGCCAAGATCACTGAGAGGAACACCCAACGGCTCAGGGTCCAGGAACGCACGATCCTTCTGCAGCCTTGCCTGGGCCAGCTGACACGCACGCCTGTTCAAATCATCCTCAAGAGCCTTAATAGCATTCGCATTTCCGTGCGGATCTTCTTTCCTAAGACGCAGACGTTGCACCTCCTTCGTACGGAACTCTTCGTCTGTGTCCAGCGGCAGCTCAGCGATCGGAACACCCTCTGGTTGCGGGTCAAGGAACAGTTCACGCTCGGCGTCCTTGAGTTCCCTCGCAAGCTCGTGTGCGCGGATGTTAAGTCGGTCCTCGAGTTCCTCGATGGCATTGGCGTCTTTGCGTGGCTTGCGCTTCAGTGCTCGAAGCTCGTCTTCCATAGCGCTAAACGGCTCATCTTCGTTCAGCGGGAGCAATTCTAATGGGACGCCCTCTGGCGCTTGATCAAGGTAGGTCCGTTCCTTTGCGTGCATTTGCCTCGCCAACTCGTGTGCACGCTCATTCATTCTCTCCTCGAGGGCATTAATCTTGCTCGCATTGGCCGCAGCGTTCCGCAAAAGTGCCATGCGCTCTTTTGCCATTTCTGCGAATGCAGCATCTGCCATGAGAGGAATATCCGCAATAGGAATGCCCTCCGGTTCCGGATCAAGGAACGAGAAGTCCGGGTTCCTGCTCTCACCCGCAATAGCATCGGCCATCTTTAACAGTTCCACCTCAACGTTCTGCACCTTGGTTGCATTCCTCGGGTCCTTCTTCAGCACGTAGCGTCCCCGCTCAGTCGTAATGTACCGCGGCTCGGCGTCAAGAAGAGGGTTCAGCGCCTCAAGGTTGTGACCTGGGAGATACTTCGGCCTGTCCTTTCCGAGAAGCTGCTTCGCCAAAGCATGCGCGCGCTCATTCATCTGCGCTTCAAGCGCAGCAATCTCGTCCGCGTTGCCCTCGGGGTCATTGTGCAGTTCTTTCAATTCTGCAAGCATATCTTGCATCTCGGCATCCTCATCCAACGGGAGGTCTTCAAGCGGAACACCCTCCGGCTCCGCATCGAGAAACGCCAAATCGACCTCGCCCAGATCACCGGCACCTTCAGGGGGGTCCGTGATGCGCACGTGCGCAGGCTCCACACCGACAACCTCCACTCTGCACGGCACCGCGCCATTGCCACGCGGGCACGTGACGGAGAGGGCGTATCGGCCCGCCTCCAGAAGGTGGTGCACGATACCAATCTCTCTGTAGTTAGTCGCGTATGTGACGCCGTCAATACGCTTGTCATCGCCATTGTAGAGGTACATACCGAGGAAGTCTTCTGCCATGGCATCCCCGCCATTTGGAGACTTGAAGGGCTTTTCCTGACGCAGGAGGATGTGGATGTTAGTAGGGACGTCAACGAGGAAGTCCACACGATCCTTCTCTCGGCTACGCAGCTCGAGGTGCTCAATGGCGGGCAGGTGCCGGGCAACGTCCACGTTCAGTCGTACAAGTTTCATCTGCTTCAAATCCGCCGGCTTGTGGTACCAGTACGAAAGCAAGAATTTGCTTTTGTCACGGAACATGGCACTCGGGACAAGATAGCACAGAGACTTGGGCGGCACTGTCACAAGGTTTGCTGATTCACGGGAATTAAGGAAAAGACCCTTGTGCACAATTCGGTGGTTGTTGCAAGTCACCAAATATGTAGGCAGGGGGTTGCTCGACGTGGACTGAGAGAGAACTAACCCGCACTGTATGTAGTTCATCCCTTGTTGCGGCAACTGGTGCAGCATGTGACGCTGATCCGGTTGGCAAATCATTGCCATGATCTGCAATGGCTCGTCTGAAGTGTTCCTCACCACATACAGTGGGTTCTCACGCCACGTCACGAGGGTCGGATTGCCACCATTGGTACCATCTCCCCATTCGCTGTTGAAGTGCCAACTGGGCTCCGTCAGCCCTTTGATGTGGGCCTGCTGTACACTGACAAACGAATTAAGGAAAACCGGCACTGGCATGTAGATCACATTTTGCCGCTCCGGCGCCAAAATAGACCGCAACTCCGAAGTCCATGACGGGTCGCTTCGGTTCATGGGACCCTTGTAAACGGCCTCCAGAAACGGGTTGTAGATCATGACCAACAAGTCCGATAGGGACGGGTTCACCGTGTTATTCGTGGAAACAATTCCAAGAAGACCATACGTCTGGTCCCCCTGCAATCCAAGTGGTTCGGCTTCATCCACCTTTGTGAGGGCACCAAGCGCCGTTGTTTTGAGGCTCTCACTCAATTCAAACCAAAACTCCGGTTCATCAATGTCATACATAGCAGCCTTCGCGAGTTTCAAATCAGTTGGGATGCTCACCACTGGACGACCAGTGAAGTCATGGTACAACTCCTGCAATGTACACCCTTCGATGTTCTGGTACAATGTGTAGAACTTAGCGTAGGCCTTTTCTAGCAGAAGGGGCCACCAGTGACGCGTGGGCGAGCGGCAGAACAAGGTCTGACCCTCCGTCAGCGGGATGCGGTCATCGATCTCCACCTTTACCCACTGACCGTAACGATGAAATTGAAAGGTGTAGCGGCCGTCCTTCCGCACATTCTTCGACACAAACACGTTGTGAATCACATCGGGGTGATGATCCACAAGCGTTGCAAAGGCTGTGAGGCAGCAGCACTCAAAGTGCTCACCCTGCTCGAACTGATCCCGGCTAAGCACGTCAGGGAGGAGTGGCTGCGTCTTGCCCTCAGGGTACAGATCGCCAATGTGAATCCAGGGGTCGTTTGTGACGGACTTGTTGTCAACCAAAAATCGCTTGTCCTCGAACGGCGTCGTGCTGTCAGGCACCTCTGTTATCTCAGCCACAGGAATATTGATGGGCGTGTAGTCAATGGGGTTTACTTTAGATATGGCATCTTCTCCTTCGTCAATGATGTCCTCATCGTCGAACATGCCCGCATCCTCTGGTGCTTCGACAGCTCTGACCTTTGCCTCCTTCCCAGAGACAATTGTAATTCGCGCTGGAACGGTACCCTTGCCACGCGGGCAAGTGACCGAGAGAGCGTAGCGTCCACTTCGGGGGAGGTGGTACAAGATCCCAGTTTCCCTAAAATTAGTGGCGGCGTGTACGCCACTAATTTTCCTATCTGTATCGTCATACAGGTACATACCCATGTAGTCCTGGGCCATCGCGTCCCCTCCTGTTTTTGGGCTCACAAATGGCTTTAACTGATGCATCAGAATGTGAACATCCGTCGCACATTCAACGTAAAAGTCTACACGATCTTTGGTACGCATTTGCAGTTCAACCCGGGTTTCTGTTGGCTTCTCCCAGTCCATGTCAGGTAGTAAGAGCCGCTCAATGCGGAAGTTGCTGTAGTCAAGGTGCTTCATCCGATAAATTGCAAGGGTAAACTTTGATTCGGCCCCCTTTTCCATGCACGACGGAACGAGATAGCAAAGCGAATTAGGGGGCACTGTGATGGCATTTGCCACTTCACGAGAGTTGAGAAAAAGACTCTTGTGAATGGGCTTGTGGTTATTGCCTGTCACGAAGTACGTCGGGATGGGCCTTGAGTATGTGTACTGACTCAAAATCAGACCGCACTGCTTATACCTAAGTTCGTCGTCTTGCGGTGTCCAAAGGCGGCGCTGATCTTCCTGTTTGACAATTGCTATGAACTGAACAGGCTCCGTACCAGTGTTCCTAACGTAATACAGGGGATTCTTGCGCCAGGTCGCACTGGTAGGGTTTCCGCCAGCTGTCTCACCCTTCCACTCATCGTCAAAGTACATGGCATCTTTGATAACCGTGGAAATATGGCAGAGCTGCATGGAGTTGATGATCTTCATAAAGTTGCTTAGGGGAAGGAATATGGAACGTTCATCTTCTACGTTGTAGCGCACTCGCAGCTTTGGGGTCCACTGCGAGTCCTTGCTGTTCAAGGGACCTCTGTAGATGAATTCCTCATCCTCGAAGGGATTGTGCAAGTGAACAACAACGTCGTTCACGGACGATGTCCCAGTCAGCGAAAATATCTCGAGAACGCCGTACTGTTGCTCTCGCTGCAAGCCCATGTTCTC